AATCAATGCTAATGTTGGAAAAGTTCTTTTTTTTTTCTTTTTAATGGACTGTCTCACGAGCATTATGTAAACATCTTCAGAGAAGACGTTTCCAACTTGATTCGTTTGCTGAGATCTTTGCATTTGTAAAACGAAAACTTTCCCTTCTCTTTTCGAAACAAATACTGTCCCGTTTTTGTTTGCTTTGCGGAGATGTTTTTGCTCGAAGTTATTTGTTTTTTCTCTCTGTATCTCTCTTTTCTTAAACTTTCATATCATTTTTCATTTACTTGTGTGAAATAAAAAAAAAATGAAATACATCTACAAAATGACTTCAAAAGTATTATTTGATACATGAATAATTTATGAAGAGTCATATATTTTTTTTCTTTTTACTTTCATTAAAATGAATATCATATTCGCGAATTGAAGTTATATTTTATAGCTTTTCAGAAAATCAATGTTCTACTTTTCAAGAGCTGTTGGTGTCGGACTACGTACTTCCGAGCCATGATTAAGTTGACACCAGTTAACCAGTGTCATTTCGACACCGCGATTTAAAATATATAAAATAGTTTTTTTAACTAAATAAATGGTTTTCTAGGTTTACTAGTAAATTAGGGTTTAGATTTAAGACTTCTTAATATTATTTCATGTAATTATCCTATATTATAAAACCCTTTATATCATCCCACATTATGTTTCGCTATGCTTCTTGGACCACTGCTTTATCGCTAGACATTTCGAGACTCAATCTGCCAGGAACATTAATATTATGTGGTATCCATTCTGTGCCATCCGTAACGACATATATATCAGAATTTACTGGAATATTATCAATTATATCTGCACTTTCTTCAGATTCTTCGCAGTCAATTTCCCTTAATCTTATGTCTTCATCGGAATGTAAATTAGAGCAAGACAACTAAAACCACCATCCGATTTATTCTCATAACGCTATCGCAACAAGTTGGCAATTTCATCAGGGATTAAACCTTTTTTATGAGGCATCGTTTCAGGGTGTCTACTCTGCACTAATTTCGAAAATCGAAGGAATTTTTTTTGTGAGCTAATAAGTAAATATATACTGTGTAACGAAACACTTAAGGCCGTATCACACGTATATTTTTCATGCAATTTTTTCGTCCAATTTTTGGCCGAATCTGAGGGGGGAGGGTTGCCGTAAACAAAACGACACGCTCTGACGTCAGCCGCACTCTATCTCCACATTGAAAAATTACTCGCCGATTTTTCTGCTTCAGAAAATGAACATCCAAAATTATTTCTTTCATTTCGCTTGAGCAAATGTTGATGGGTGTAAACTAAAAATAGAGCACCATTCTATTTAAAATATTATACGCCGTTATAAAATATTATACACCATTAAAATATTATACGGCATATCTGAAGTGTTAGACGAAACCGGAGCCGCCATCTTGTTAATGACGTAGGGCGCCGAAGACCCCATTGGCTGGAATTTCAAGCAATTTTATTTGGAACAACTTTTTGAGCTCGCTAGCAAAAAATTGTTCTAAAGCGGTTGCTATGGCAACTGAGTAAAAATTGCACGAATTGAACGAAAAATTGCTTTAAACGTGTACGTGTGATACGGACTTTAGACACAACAATTTTAATATAATTGATCTATTTCCACTGTCAACCCAAAGACCCTGTATTAAAGGTCAAGAAAATAGACAATAGGATTTTGAGAATTTTATTTTACTAATAGTCTCTGTTTAGTGAACTATATTTTGATGAACGACAGCTATTTATATTGACTTGGAGTCGAAACGATACCAGAGGACGTTCTAGGTACATTCAGTTGTAAAATCTCTCCTAATTAACCTAGAACCCCAAAACAATTTCTTTGTAATCACCAGGAAAAATGATCAAAAGTCACGAAAAATTTTCAAATTTCCTGTAAAAATGTGGAATGGAGAACTAAGTAACAGGTTTTGGTGTCAATGTGACACTGACGGACGTTCTAGTATTAAGAGGAGAATGCCTGATCTTGCACCACACTTTTTAAAAAATGTGTGAATTATTATCAAGTAATTGCCAACAAAACTGTTTTCGATGTGTTTTTATTTAGAAAAAGCTAAAACTTATATCAGTAGAAATTTCTATTGTTTTTGTTGAGTACTGTAAATAGCTGTCGAGACGCAAGTCCTTTGGTGAGCAGTGTGGTGGAATAAAAGTGGGGCGCCCTTGTCGTCTCCCAGAATTTTCTCTCTTAAAATTGGATTGGAACCGAGCCAAAAATCGTACTGTCATCTGTACAGTGTTAAAAGCTACGACTAACGACAGGCATACATCTAACCCAGTGCTTCTCAAACTTTCAATACTTGCGACCCAATATTCAATCATAATTTTCATCGCACCTCCTCCATTCAATACCAATGTATTGAATTCGAAAATACGATACTTTGATGCTAAAGCTACCACACGACTTTAACCTCTCAAGTGCCACTAGCATATATAAACGTCTCACTAAGTCAGTGCATAAATTATCCGGACGTATATATACGTCTTTCCAAAATACGATCTTTTTTATCACTCTTATCCATAAAATTATTCCGAAAATTTGGAATGCAATAAGATTTTGACAGTGTTTGTGACAGTGTGTGCTTATTTCCGGGGATTTGTTTATTTATTCCCTTTCTCGTCCGCCCAATACACCACACATATGCGTGCATGCGGGAGAAATGATGGCATTGGGGAACGAATTACGTAACTTTTAATTGGCAATTAAAGAATTAATTATAAACAGTACAAATTATCAAGATAAGTGTTAAGTTTTGCATACAATTTTATATATGACAAGCCCGTTGGTCACTGGTAATTATTAAATTCCTTCTTAATCTAGTATTGTTAAATAAATGATAAAATACATTTATTGTGCAGTACTGATACATTTGCATTTATAGTATACCAGTGTAAATATTTTTTTTTATTTTTTTAATATGTCAGAATGCATTTTGTTTGTATACTTTCAACAAATTCATAATTTTTTTTTAAAATATTCTTTTTTTTCGACTTTTCAATATGTTTGCTCCCCCATACTAGAGACATCACACACCCCTGGGGGCGCACCCTACAGTTTGAGAATCTCTGATCTAACCTCTTACCATGATGAATTCCGTGGACCTTAATCTGATGATACCGTTGATAAGGTGGCGAGAGTAATATAAATGCTGTTATACTGTAATAAATATAAAAACACAGAATGACAAGCGTATTAACCATTTCAAGGTATTTATGTATTTTTAACAATATTTTATTCGTCAATTCAGTGACGAAATCAATTACAAAACATTTGCTAAACATTTCTTATATAATATAGCAGAATTTAGTCTGATATTTTTTTACGTAGAAATCTGTAGTTTGATTGATTGAATATTAACGCCGCACTGTTCAGCTACACGAGGGCTTTTGGCAACGAACCACGTAATTTTGAGCCATGGTCAAGTGACGTGGATGACACCTGAGCTGGCACCTCCTCTCCTAACTACCACACCACACCAACGGGAGGACGTTTCAACTCTCGACAGATTTAACGTGCATCGCTGCCCTACACGGCGGGTCTTTAGTGGTACTGGGCTCGAACTCATGACAAGGCAAGCCACGGTCCGATACCTATACCACTCGGCTACCGTGGCCGAGAAATCTGTAGAAGTACCTATTATTAAAATGTTTTAAAACTTTTTTTATAGATGTTTATTTTACATGGTTATAATAATGCAAAAATGCCATATTCTCAGTTGCAATGTCATATTCTCAAATATTTATTTAGAAATATAAAAAACAAAACAAATTAATTCAAAAGAGTGACGTCCGATGTGTTGGCTCTTAAACCTTGCATACCAGACTATGCTTTCTTGTATCCCCATAAATCTGAGATTCTGAGATACTGACTTTGACGTCATGACGTCATTTTTCCTTTTGACACTGACTAAGGCACACATACGTTAATGTTTCGTTTTGCTTTCTAAAGTTTACATAGCTATTCTTGTTAATTATTTTTATTTCTTTTTGTCAATGCGGCATTGTCATTGGATTTAAACGAAAGCGATACTGAATGAGAATATTTGCTGGAAAAAAATGAATACGACTGTGACTCTGATACGGATTTATCTATTTGTGATGAAGTATAAGGAAATGGGACAAAAATGACAATGAACTTATGTAAAGAATGTGGGAAAGGGTTTTGTTCGAAGGAACATTTCGAGTAATTTCGAAAACATTTGTGACTTTAATTTAAATTTTCCTATCTTTTTCAAACTATTGTAACCGACACATTTTGTTACTTAACTTTTGTAATTTTATACAACCCCGATAAAAAAAATTCTATCTTTTAATGTTTCCTGTGTTAATTGCATTGGTTGGACACTTAATTACGCCATGTATCCAAATGAGGTTACACTTGAATTTTGCCCCATACATAGGGTATCATGCATCCAAATGAGGTTGCATTTGGATTTTGCCCCATACATAGAGTACCATGTATCCAAATGAGGCTGCATTGGGATTTTGCCCAATACATAGGGTACCATCCACCATTGGTTACATGGTATGGAAGTGGTTAATACGTCCTACACAAAAAGAATAATTTTCTTCATTTCGTCATCAGAGTAAAATTAACAAACAACCAATTTCTGAAACTGGAGACAAAAATCATCAATAAAATCAATGTTTCACATGTTTTATAAAGTTTGTAGTCCCACTTTTAATACAATTAACAAGTAATGTAAAAAAAAATTAAGTCAATTCCTACTTAGGTAAACAAAGAAATATTTTATTTTAGTTACTTTATATATTAAGTAGTTACTATTAATATATATTTACATAGGACAGAATCACAGTATTAAATTAAAGATTAGAAAATTATTTTTTTTTTGCAATTTTCCAATTTCCTTAGGGTGTTGGACTATTTTTTTTGTTACCATTTATTCATTAATTAAATTTAATTAGTCTAATGAAATAGTATAGTGAAAAAGAAATCACATTCTCAGAAATTAGGCCATTACAGGTGGGATTCGATCCCACGACCTTTAGAAAAGAAGTTCAACGCGCTATCCATTGTGCATTAGGAAAATAACGAATAATTTTCCTTTCTATATATGCTGTTGGGGTTATTATTTTTCTTTTTTACTGTTCATTAATTTTTTTTTAAATTTAATTCGTGAATTAATATTTGAAAAAACTGTATTAACATCAAATGCCATGCATCACAATTTTAAAAATTTGTATTCTAACATTAATGGATGAATAGAAAGTATTTTATCAACAATTAAAAATTTGAACAAGATATATATAGAGAGAGAAAGAGAAAGAGAGACTGGACCAACAGTCGGAATTGAAAAACAGACATGGAATGACGGCTTAAAAGTTTCAAGATCTGATTATTAGTAGCTGTGTGAAGCAAAACAATAAATTTATTTTATGGTCTCTATATTTCACTTTAACTGCTCAAAAATCCCGTTCCAACAAAACACAAATAAAAAAAAAATCTCTCGTTTTAAAAGAAAGAAAAAAATTAGTCTCTAAATTGCTTTGCCTTCTGAGGAGTTAATGCACCTCATAATAAATTAAACAGAATACAGTTTTATTAATACTGTATGAAAAATGAAAAACTACGGTTATATTTCAGAAAAAGATCAACTCTTACCATTAGCAAATGTGACAATGTCGTGACGGGGGTAATTAGCGTGTTTGCAAATGCGTTTTGAAATGCTAAAAGATACTGAAACAAGCTAGGTAGTTTGCATTGAATCGTCGTGATGCACTGCAATTAGGAAAAACAGGAGTTAAGCTATAGAAAACATTTGATAAAGCGAGAAAAAAATTTTGATATTTATCTTTACTTCAGCGGATCTATTTAGTTTTTTTATTCCGTTTTGTGTGATTTACTTTAGAGTAATTCAATCATCAATCACATGTTTACTTTTTAAAATATTTTAATGGAGTAATATATTTATAGAAATATTAGACATAAGTTTTGTTTACACTGGATGACTGAACACAAAATAAATTACGATTCTCTAAATTATTTAATGTTTAATATGAGACAGATTTATTGTGCTAATATACAATATTATAAAAATAATTTTTTTGTTATTTGTTCTAAAAACTATATAATATACAAAGCTCTCTCTGTATATTAGAAAAGAAGAATATTACTTTATCATGGTACTTGTGCATTATAAAAAAATTATTATATTTAATTATTTACTACTTCTATGAATTTGTTTCTATCAGTATTAATTTTTCTTGTAAAGCACATTTGAAGAACTCTATCTAAACAATTTCAAATTATCGATCGCATTTGAGAATTAATAAAACAATTTTAAACGAAAAATAGTTTGATTTCTTTACAGTATACAATTCTTACATTACAGACATCGTCCTTATAAATGTGTTCATTAGCTACAATTACCTATCAATCATATCTTCGGCAGATATATGAAAGCCCACACAAAACGCGAAACGTATTTTCTGACCAAAAAATGTCTTAAGTTTCATGAAAATTTGCTGAATTGTGATGTAAAATAGTTCATTTAACATTTTAGTATGGGAGAAAAAATTCGGAACACATTTTATCTTCCCCCCTCCCCCAAAAAAATGGATTGACTCAGTAAAAGGTAAATAGCATTAGAAAATTTAGCGATAGGATAGTGAAGCCAGAATATAATATTAATCATAATTACATATTAATAAATTATCTCTTCTTAAAATGTTAATGTATTGTGTAATATCCTTGCCTTAAATCTAAATGCAAATGTCTTATGAATTATTTATTTATTTTAAATAAGAAGAGTGGAAAATGAATAAAACTAATATAAGGTAGTATATGAAAGGAAAAAGTCTCGAATAAAAATTCACACACCCACGTGGTGCATGAAATCTTAAAAAATTATTCAAAAAGAATAATTTGCCTTTTTCTATGGTAATTTTTAATAAACATCAAAAACTTTGTTTATGTAATATTTTTTGTATGAAGCAATAAAAACTTTTTTTAAAAAAATTTATATAATGAACATTGTATTGAGTTCATAACTATTTAACCAAATCACACTTTTTACCGTAAAAAGAAAATTATTTTTATTTGAAACGATGAAATCCCTTATTATTACGCGTTTAACTTTGCACTTACGCAGTACAAGTATATGAAAATTAATGAATGGTGTATATCAGTGCTTCTCAAACTTTCAATATTTGCCACGTAATATTCAATTATAATTTCCATCGCTCCGCCCCCCCCCTTCTATACAATAACAATGTATTGAATTCAGTATAATATACTTTGACTCTAAGGCTACAATACGAGTTTAACCTCTTAAGTGCCACCGGCGTACACAAATGTCTCGCTCAGCCAGTGCTTTATTTGCCCAGGACGTATATATACGTCTTTCCAAAGTACGATCTATTCTATGCACTGCTTTCCATAAAATTATTCCGAAGGCTTTAGAATGCAATAAAAGGACATTGACAGTATTTGCGTTGGATTTACTTATTTCAGAGGATTTTTACTTATTTATTCCTTTTCTTAACTCCTACCCCCAATATATCCATACGCATGCCTACGTGTTAAATGGTGGCATTGGGGAGCAAACCGCGTAATTTTTAATCCGTATTTAGAAGATTAATTATAAAACGTTCACAAATTACCAAAGATAAGTGTTAATTTTTGTACATAATTTTATTTATGTCAAGCCCATGGGATCACTGGTAATTTTTAAACATGTTCTTAGTATTATTAAAAATTACAAAGTTCATTGCGTGGTATATATTTATAGTTGTATTATATATCAGTGTAGAAGTGTGTTTATTTTTTATTATGTCAGAATGTATATTGTCTGTTTGCTTTCAGTAAACTAACGATTTTCTTAAATAATCTTTTGTTTTCGACTTTTCAATAGGCATGTGCCCCACATTTTATATATACACCAGCGTTGCTCAAACAGATTAAAATTCAAAATCCCTAAGAAAAATATTTACACATGTAATAACTTATATCTACAAGAAATTCCTGCCCCTATACTAGCAAAGAACAATCAATAAATTGTCCATATCGGAATTTGAGCTGTTAAAACTATGGCTTCCCATCGTGGCTATTCGTAAAGTGATTCTTACGTCAAGAAGAGGCGTAAACATTTTCAATAACCAAAGAAATTTACGCCACTTTAAAAATATTTTCGTAACAAGCAATTTAATTCTAAATAAAATTGAAAAATATTTAAGATCGAAGTAAACAGCACTAAATTCAAAGCTGTGAGCATTTATGTGAAATCATTAAACGGAATAAGTATTTTAATATTAGAAGGGATTTTTCAGGACATTTTAAAATTGCTGACAGTCACGGAAGAAAGTCCAATAAAAAAGAATTATTAGTACAGAGAAACATATTAGAGCTTTCAATACATATTTCAATTTTTTTTTCCATCTCGACGAGAAACGCTGAGTGATAAGTTTTCGAACAAAAACGCCCTTCCTGCATTTTGGAAAGGAAGTGTTTATCCCCACCAATATCCTGGTTTTTCCAAAGTGATTTTTACTTTATAAAATAAGTATTTCACAAAAGATAGGTGAGCAGTCAGTTCTTAAGAAAAATAAAATTTAAAAGTCTGGGAAGTGTATAGAAAATCTTTTAGAAATGTTCAGTTTCTTCCAAACTCTTTCCTTTTTTTAGGTCATGAAAGTAAATTTATCTAAGAAATAAAGACATTTTTACAAAAAAATTTTATTTAAATACAATATTTCAGCAAAAAATTAACAGAATATCCTATTTTCAAAATGCTCTCCTGTGAAAAATGCTTCTATTATAATAATATTTTGCCCGTATATAGCTCAGACCTCTGTACAGAGGCTCAACTATGATTTTTGAAAAACTCACATTATTTTCAGAGTTATAACCCCTTGAAATAATTATCGGCGTTTTTTTCTTAACCCGCGATCACTCACGCGGGGTGTTCTGTACACCCCAGCAACAAGAAAATCCTCCCAGATTTTTAAAAAGAATGTGCAGAACCACGATTTTTTCTATAGCTGCACATTTTAGGTCATTGAACCTTCAGGCGTGATGCAATCCCTCTTTAAGGAACGATTGGAATGTAATGACCTTCAAAAGTGTATCTGGAGGGCTGAGAACTCCCGCGAGAAGTTGAGCATTTGTACACAGTCTGCTCTGAAAGTTTGGAAAATGATTAAAATATTATTTTTCTACTTTCTACAATCATTATCTCATTAATTATAAAGTATATTTATTACTGGCATATACGTTTTATACTGGTTTATGAAAAAATATAAAATTATGTGTTTTAAAATGAAAATTTTGTATGTTTAGTTTAAATTAATGTGTTAGTCTCATTTGTGTGCAATAAATTTAATAATTTTATTTGTATAATACAAAAACATCTTGTACTTTATAAATATGTATCATAATGACTTAATTTTTATTTTTATAATTAAATACACGTGTTAAAATTTTGGGGTGTTCTCTACACCCCGCGAGTAACGAAGGTAGCAAAAACAGGCGCGAGTGACCGCGGGTTAAAATTTCTCATCTCTGTTGTCGTAAAACATGGATAAACCCACTTCTAAGTTATGTGTTTCGAAAATTCTATTTGAACCTCTGTACAGAGGTCTGAGCTATATGCAGGCAAAATATTATTATTATAGAAGCATTTTTAGCAAAAGGGGAATACTTTGAAAGTTGGTCATTCTATACTCATTTTTTATCAAAATATTGCACTTAAATAAATTTTTAATGTAATACTATTCTTAAAACAATTTTATATACATTTTCTAATTTAAGTGACACTAAATATCATAAATATTATCCGTTTATACGCTTTTGCAAAATCACCGAATGTAGTCGGATACCTTAATGTTTTCCTTTAAAAATTACCACCTCGATAACTAAGCCCTTCCCGAAACGAAAGACAGATAAACAAGAGACCCTATCGTATGAGCAAATCCACCCCGAACGAATCCGCCTTCATTCCAACCGACGCACCTCATAAATACGGCATTTCGAACAAAACTCACGTTCCCCCTCTTGACAGGGCTTTAAATAAAAGAAAGAAAA